TATATATGTATGTATATATTTATGTATGTATGTACGCAAGTATGTATATATATATATATTCATATAATTATATATTTATATAAATTTGTATTTGTAGTATATACAAATTATACTATATATATATGTATATATATGTGTGTGAGGATAGAAGTTCCTATTTAATTTCATATATCCCTGTGTGTAGGTTTTTTCACATGAATACAATACTCATCCCTTCTTCCCCAACTACATACACAGCTACGATGTGCGCGTTGCTTGCAAACGCTCACGCGTCGTCGTGCGGACGGACTCGCGGTGTTTGATCGCGTGCTACCCATGCCATCCGCCAACTGGCGAGAGATGAGCACGTTCTGGTACTGCCACAAGGTGTGCCCAGCTTCCTACTTATATATTACATAGCATGTGATCTTGTCCTTAGCGGTGATCGATGCAATTAGAGGAGAATTCTACTACCTGCTTTATGTGTGACGTTTGTGAGTGTCACAGATTGAGTGCATGCAGTGTCTTGCTCAGTAATGGGTGTGCGGTGTCATGCATCTCTCGGATTTTGATCGCGTGCTTTGATTGCCAGTCAGCCTGCTGGTGAGATGCCCAAAGACATGTGTACCTATTGATATTCTATTGGTATTTGGCCTGAAGGCCGTTGTACCAGTTGTCTCGAAAGGAGAGTGAGTGCTGGTACTGTCATTGGATACACAAGTCAATAGTCTACTAGTCACGGCTATCGATGTGTACTTCAATCAGTTACGAGGAGCATCTATCACTTCCAACGCGCAGGTGTACGCTGTGTTTTGTGGACGTTGTAGTACAGTACAGTACAATGCATGTTTCGTTGACTTTGTAGTACACTGTAATGTGTTGTTGTCAGGATTGGACAAGGTCGAACACACGTGCATGTATTGCCATCACTTACTAGGAGAATCGAACCCTTACAACGCGCAGATGTACGCTGTTTTTTTGTGGACGTTGTAGTACAGTACAATACAATACATGTTTTGTTGACTTTGTAGTACACTGTATTATGTTGTTGTCAGGATTGGACAAAGTTGAAAACACGTGCATGTATTGCCATCACTTACTAGGAGAATCGAACACTTACAACGCGCGGGTGTACGCTGCTGTACAGTCACACGGCCTATCTAGTGCACCCGAACAATTTATCCCACTATCGATGCATGTAGATAACACACGCACACGTGCTCAAAACACTTCACGTGCACATACTCAAAATACTTCCCATGCACATACTTAAAACACTTCACGTACACATACTTATAATACTTCTCAGGAGAACCTGAATGGTCGCTTGCCTCAGGACTTGTCCCTATCGACACGCGAGTGTGTACTGCTGTACAGTCTCACGGCCTATCAAGTGCACCCGAACAATTTAATCCACTATAGATGCATGTAGAAGACACACGCACACGTACTCAAAACACTTCACGTATACATACTTAAAACACTTCTCAGGAGAACCTGAATGGTCGCTTACCCCAGGACTTGTCCCTGACGACGCGCCAGGGTATGCTGCTGTACAGTCCCACGGCCTATCAATTGCACCCGAACGATTTGGTGAAGGGCTCTTTACGACTAGATACGACACCCACACACACACACGGCTTAGAAGACGACACCCAATCCCAGGTATAGGGCACATCCTGCATACTTTAGTACGAGTTTATTCGTACGTACTATCCAGTCCACGCCAGAGATGCAATGAAGGGTTATAT